CTTTACTTATAATTGACTGTTATCGCGAAAGAAAATATGACAAAAAATAAAGATATGACAAGCAAAAGCGCCAAATTAAAAAAGACTGGTTGACGAGCCATTGATGTTTCGGAACTAGAAAGAATGCGACAACCAGGATATCGCCGTATAAACCAAGGATTAAGATGAGATGCTGGTCCTATTGAAAAAGCCAAATATGAAATCTGTCAAAACATTCTTCACTATAAACAAGAAAATAATTTGTCGGAAAAAGAGATAGGGGAAAGATTAGGAATTAGGAAGTCAGAAAAGTTGGAGTATCTTTTATTTTGCCACATTGACAAATTTACTTTGGATAAATTGGTTGCTTATGCTACTGAATTATTAACTCCTTTTGAATTAAAAATTGTGCGGCCGGGGAAGGAAATTCATCTTTCGCCTAATTCAGCAAAAATTAATAATCGTTCTCGCAAACATCTTTAATTTTGCCTTGTATAAGATAAATAACACTAAAAATTATGAAAATACTTTGAAAAATTAAATCTCTGATTTGATTTTCTTAATATTAATAATAATTGCCCTAGTTTACTGATTTTATAAGAAAAAATTAGCCAAGTAATTTTCTTACTTCCGCCTTGTTCCCGCCTTGTATGAGAAAAAATACAAGTTAAAATATGACTAACGAACAAGAAAAAGACCGCAAATTTCGGGAAAATGCTAAAAAGATATACGACGCCACAAAAGGTGTAGTATTAAAAGCAAGCGAAAAGGCCTTAGAAGGAGCCACAGCATTTTTAGAGCATCCCATAGATACTACCGAAAAAATTTATCACGGCCTAAAATCAGCCGGTAAAAAAGCCCTCAATTTTGGGGTTGATACAGCCACTAATCTGCTGACTGACCCCCAAAAAGCCCTCAACACTGGTTTAGGATTAATGGAAAAAGGATTAAATGCCATTCCCGTAGTAGGAGGTTTTTTTTCTTTTTTAACCGGGACGGCCAAAGATGCTCTAACGGATAAAAAATTTGAAAATTTAGCCAAAGAAATCAGTGGATTAAAAGAAGGTTTGAATAGTTTAGCCGATTCGGTTGGAGAAGCCTTGGACGGCTTGCGAGGTGAAATGACCGAAGCCTTGGAAGCCATGGGAGCCCGCCAAGACCAATTAGAACAATTCACCAAAGCTTTCAAAGACGAACAAGAAAAACTTAACCAAAAATTCCAACAACAAATTGACGAAATTAATGAAACTCTTAAAGAACACGAGAAAAAAATCCGCGACAATGCCGAAAAAATTTTCAAAGAACAAATTAAATTGGAAGACGTTCGCTCAGAATTTAAAGACCAAATTCGCGTCACCAATACTAATTTAGATAATTTACGCAAAGAGCAGGAGGAAACCAAACACGATTTTGAAAAATACAAGCACCAAATTAACGAAAAAACGGCTAAAACTGAACAATCTTTTGAAGACTTGCAGGCCGATTATACTCGCCGCAATAGAATTATCGAAACTCAAATTAAGGATAACGAAGAGCAATTGGGGGAATTTCAAGAAAATTTGGCAAATGTGGAATTTCAGCAGAAGAAACTTAATTTAGAACACCAGGAATTTGCTGAAAGTCTGGAAGAACAAATAAATCTATCTTACGAGCAAAGAAAACGATTAGATTTAGTGGTTAATGAAATTGAAGATATTCAAGAAGAATTTCATCAGAAAATAAATCGCTTACAACAAACTCAATTAGACCAAGACGAAAAAATTGATGAGGCCGTATTTGCCGCCAAAAGAGCCACCCGCAAAGTTGAAGAAATCTCTGATAAATTAGAAAAACATAATCAGAGAATAGATAAATTACA